CCCCAAAACCCCAAAACCCCAAAACCCCTTGATTGGCTCTCAGTGAAATTAATGAATTAAGATTTTGTTGAGAAATTAAATTTAAATAAATTTGTGATTCATCTACTTCATTGATACTAGCTTTAAATATCAAGAGGGAGTAAAATAGATCACAATAAGCTAAATACTTTGCCATTATTCCCATTAAACTATTCCTATTCAGCTCAATTCATTTCCTCATTGCTTATCATCCAGTGATTGTTATTTTTCAACTTAATCTTATCTTTATGCATTGAGTTTCAACTTAGCTTCCTTTTATTTTTTGAACATATCCTCCATTGAATTTTGAGTATTTTCCTTTTATTTTATTATAACCTCAACTTGATTAGTAATCTATTGAACTAAATTTTCTTTTTCCACATCTTAATCTTTTTTATTTTTACTTTGACTCGTTTATTTAGGAATTTTATTCATAATCTCTAAGGGTGCCTCATTTTATGAACTAGAGAGAGAAGTGTCTTTTATTGTATCCTTCACTTTTTCCTTTCCGGTTTTAGGTGTCTCATGTTCTAGCAGATGATGATCTTAAGGATCAAAATTAATCACTTCCTTAACTTTGAATTTAGTATTTTTATCTTACTTAATTTATGTGACATCTCTAACTATTAATTTTATGATGGCATTCCCTTCTTAATTCTCTAATGAATATGGCTAGTTTTAAGCTTTCAGTAATTTATTCATCGTTGAAAAAGTAAGATAACGGCACTTTCCCTCCCTTAAGTTAAATTAATCTGTGATCTATTTTAGTACATCAGGAATAAAGATAGAAGCATGTTTAATAGTATCGATTTGCTTATCTAGCTCAGACCAAATAAAAGTATCATCAAATTCTAGAAAATTACCCAAAACTAGAACAGTTTAAAGTATCCTTCTTTTTGGTATGGATTTATCATAGAATTTATTATAGTATTTATCCTTAATTAAATATCCAATTTCCTTTTGGAGATTTGGTGTTAGATACATTGTTGAATTTTTTATACCTCTCAAACTCACAAGGTACTCGTGATCAGTTTTAATTTTCTTAATATAATGAGGAGCTAGAACACCCATAAGTAAATTAAAGTAAACTATGTCAGGTTATTTATATAATATAAGCTTCGACCAAGATTCAAAAAGATCAAATTTAACCTGATCATGACATTCTTTCTAGATTACTGATTCATAAGATTTTTTCAATAAGATTTTGATTTACATATTTGTTATATTAGGGACAGGGTAATTGCTTAATGAGTAGATAAAATCTGCTAAATCTTTCTTATTGCATAAGGGAATTTCATCAATATATTCAATATATTTATTGAAAATGGTCTGAATTGCTTCAACCAAGGCAATTTTCTTCATTTCTACTTACTTGTAATTTATTTCAATAAATTTCTATGATATCTCATCTCTTAATGCAATTTGTTTACTATATACATCTACATTATTTTCAAGAAATTTAGAAATGTTAGATTTTACGAAGTCAAGCTTTGCTATACTTAGGTTTAATTTAGCCATTGCTCTGTATAATTTACTAAAGCTGAAATAGCTAATAGTGAGTAATGACTGATTAAATAAATTCAATAGATGGCTCTCAATGTACAACAAAGTAGACTGTGCAAAGTTTGATAATTCATTAATTTATACCTATTTTTCTTATAATTTATATTTAACATTGCCAAAATATGATTCTGGTTCAAATAGTTCAAGAATTAATTGATGCATAGCTTTTACTTGCACTTCAATATTCATAGCAGAGTAAAAACTGAGCATACCAATTTATTTTTAATCAATATCCTAGCCAACAGAAAATTCTGGATTATTTATTATATGGTTGATTAGTAAGGTTTGTCTAGCTATCTCGGTCTTATCTTATGAAAACATTTACAACAAATTTGTTAAGTTGACTAAATTGAATTGTGAGAGATTTTCAAAAACCTTTAAAATTAGCACTCTTTCACATTTTTTCATATCGCCATAGTGATCCCCATATGAATTATTAACTAATTTCCCTATTTAGGCTAGAATATCTAGTTGTAGAAAATAGGAATTAGGATCAGTAAGCTTTTTAGCAATCTTTAGTAATGTTTCATCAAATTTGAGAATCTTTTCTTACTCAAATAAATTGATTCTCAGATATCCTTTTATGATGTACAATATATTAGTACATGCTTCATTATCGAAATTGTCAAAATTAGCATTTGCTAGCACAGATTGAAATTTTTTATCTATTATACTCCAAACAGTTTTATTGGCTTAGTTTTCTTTGCTTAAGGCGTCTACAATATAACTCAAGTCTAAGACTTTTTTCTCATATATCTAACTTGACTTCTAAAGAAGAACTTCAATCAGTCTCTTATTGACAATTTACCAAAATTATTGAGAGAACTATCTTTTGCTATTGATAATCTCTGATAAAATGTAAGACATTAATGGTTTATCCATTTTAGGGATTTCTAGGCTCAAAATTTTCTCAACTTATTCACTCGAAACATCTGTTTCCATCAATGTCTTTCTTGCGTTTGATACTCTTTCTGCTTAGGTTAATCTTGATTTATCTCTGGAGATCATCTCAACCAAGAATTTCTAACTCTTGTTCTTGATCACACTCTCAGGATCTCTAGAAGTCCTTTTCTCGAATTAATTCATCTATTATATATCATGGAATCACTTTGAGAATGCAAAACTTTGAGGATAAGTTCCAAGGATATATTTGATTGGGTGAGGTTTGATAAATAACCCCAAATACTTAGTGTTTTTAACCATAAGCATGATTCACAGATTTATTTTTATTAATTGATTTAAGGCTTAATAAAATTATAAATTTAAATTGGAATTTAGAGCTAAGCTTGAGTTAGGAAATTAATAATTGATACTAAAGTTTATATTAGTAATATAATAATATATATTTATATTAAGATGATGTAAGAGGGAAATACCAATACCAGTAGATTGTAGGCTCTCAACAATAGCAATTATACCCCGACCAAACAGTCTGAGGAGTTTAATTCTATGAATTTGAAAGAGCTTCCAGACTCAAAGGAAGATAAAATCCAAATTAAACATAGAATGAACATATGCCAATGGATATCATTTGGATTTTTAACTCTGGTGTTCTTATTCCTGCTTGGGTTCTTGATTTATCAATGGTCCACTTGGAGCAAACAAAGAATCAACAGATATGGTTGAATAAATCTATACCAATATGTTCAATCATATCTCTTGCATAAAGTTCCACAACATATTAACATACCATAATATACTTAAATATAGATTATCATTATTCTCTTTTTTCAGCCTCTTATAGGCAATGGGGTTTTGGGGTTTTGGGGTTTTGG